GTCATTACCCCATTATCAAACTTTTCAATCTTTCCGAAACCTACAGCTTTCGAGGGCTGTAAACATATACAAGCGTCTAATTGGTCATTACCCTCATCAAATGATCATTACTCTTAGGGCATAGCACAATGCACAAATGTAAACATGCATGTGTTAGCAAATCGTTGGATTGGTTTCCGCATTATTGTATGAAACATAGTGTACAAAAGCAACCCACCATTAAGAAGATGAGTCATCTTACATTTTATTTTCGTTGGGGATTGAATTTTCTGCCAGGGCGGTAGGGATAATGGCTCCCTAGACTGAATTTTTCCCTCTTGATGATCTTCGCAAATGTCTTCAACTGTACATGCGAAATTGTTCGGAACTTAGTTTTACTGTGGTCATTGGTCATTGGTCAATCAACTCCTGGACTGACAAAGAAACTAACTCCTTTTCTTGGTTCAAAATGTTGTGAGCAGCTTCCAACGCAACCGCGATGGTGTGGCAGCCACAAGTTGCTGTAATGGAATCAAACATGACAATATCAAAATAAAATTTGAACTACCTCATGGGAATTCCAACTCCTAACCTAATGGAAAGAGCCAAACCATTCTTAATCATCATTTCCAATCAGTTATACACATTATGTTAACGATTCACACAGTGTTAAAGATAGATTAGAAATAATCTTATATTTTTTGTCCTTCTACTATAGTTCTTAGTATTTCCGTGTCCTTCTAGTATTATGATTATTATGATTCTCTTACTTATTGTGCAAATCTTGTAATCTACATAAACCCTTTTGTGGTTTCATAATAATACAAGTTAAACGTCATTGTTCCTAAAACTCCTTATCACTGCCTATGCTTAACAGCCTATTAATCAGGAACCTTACCCCCCACATAATCCCCTTCTTCTATGTTTATTTTTTAGTTCGCTTTGTGTTCTTTTCCTAAAACTCTAGTGCCTAACCCCTTCTTTTGTTCGCCCTCAAATCTCATTCCCTCTCACCGCTTAATTCTTATATCATCCATTTCTATAGCTTGTCGACCATTGTTGTCGCCAATTCTGATTGACCAATGCCGCCTTTCCCTCGGAGATCAAGATCCGGTGTCGACAACCGATTTGTTACCCTCTTTGCATATGTCAAAAAGGATCCTGAAAAAATACGCTTTTATCGGTGCTTAATAGACTTAATCATCATTGAAGAATAGCATCAGGCCGAAGCCATGATCTATAGCCTTCAAATTCAAAGGAAAATGGACTCTCAAAAAATAATGCCCAAAAAATGACGAAAATGTCATCCCAAAATAAATGACCCAATTCAGTGCTAAATGGACTTGATCATGGGTGGAGTATAAGATCAATAGACTTCATTATCGGTGGATAATGACCTCGGGTTTAATCCTTGATTTGTAGCCTCCAAAATTGAATGAAAATGACATTTCAAAAAATTGACCGAAATCGGTGATGGTACCCCTTTCGAATCTGCCAAAAAAGGACCCAGAAGAAATCTGCCCAAATCGGTTCTTAATGAATTTAATTATAATTGAAGAATAGCCTTAGTCTGAATCTGTGCTTTGTAGCCTTCAAAATCCAAAGAAAATGGCATTCGGAAAATAATCGCCCAAAACATTGAAAATGTCATCCCAAAATAAATTGGCACAATTCGGTCTTTAATGTACTTAATCATCGATAGATAATAGGATCAATAGACACCATTATCAATAGAGAAAGGCCTCGGGCCGAATCCATGATCTGTAGTCTTCAAAATCGAAAGAAAACTGCATTTCATAAAAAATCGCACAAAATCGGTGATGATACCCCTTTCGAATCTACCACAAATGGGCCTGGAAGAAATCCTCCCAAATCGGTGCATAATGAACTTAATCATCGTTGAATAATAGCATCAGGGCGAATCCGTGATCTGCAGCCTTCAAAATCCAAGAAAAATGTAATTTCGAAAAAAAATTCCCAAAAAACTACAAAAATGCCATCCCAAAATAAATTGGCCCAATTCAGTGCTTAATGGACTAATCATCGGTGGAGAATATCCTCGGGCCGAATCCGCAATATGTAGCCTCCAAAATCGAAAGAAAATGACATTTCAGAAAAATTGCCCGAAAACGATGATGGTACCCCCTTTCTACTATGCCAAAATTGGACCTGGAAGAAATGTGTCAAAATCGGGGCTTAATAGACTTAATCATTGTTGAAGAATAGTTTCGGGCCGAATCCATGATTTGTAGCCTTCAAAATCCAAGGAAAATGGCCTTTCGAAAATAACGCCCAAAAAATTACGAAAATTTCATCCCAAAATAAATTGGTGCAATTCGATTCTTATTGGACTCAATCATCGATGGAGAATGGCCTCGGGCTAAGTCCGTGATCTGCAGCCTCCAAAATTGAAAGAAAATTACATTTCGAAAAATTACCCGAAATCGGTGATTGGTAACCCTATCGAATCTGCCAAAAATGGACCCGAGAGAAATCTGCCCAAATCAGTGCTTAATGGACTTTATCACCGTTGTAGCCTTCAAAATCTAAGAAAAGGCCCTTTTGGAAAAATTACGCCCAAAAAATTACGAAAATGCCATTCAAAAATAAATTTGCCCAATTCGTGCCTAATGGACTAATCATCGGTAGAGAATAGGATCAATAGATATCATTACCGGTCGAGAATAGTCTCGAGCTGAATCCGTGATATGTGGTCTCCAAAATCGAAAGAAAATAGCATTTCGAAAAAATTGTCTGATATCGGTGATGGTACGCCTTTCGAATATGCCAAAAATGGACCCTGAAGAAGTCCGCCTAAATCGATGCTTAAGGGACTTAATCATCGTTGAAGAATAGCCTCAGGCCGAATCCGTGATCTGTAGCCTTCAAAATCCAAGGAAATGGCCTTTCGAAAATAACGCCAAAATAATTACGAAAATGTCATCCCAAAATAAATTAGCCGAATTCGGTGCTTAATTGACTTAATCATCGGTGGATAATAGGATCAATAGATATCATTATCGGTGGAGAATAGCCTCGGGCTAAATCTGTGGTCAGTAGCCTCCAAAATCGAAAGAAAATGGCATTTTAGAAAAATCGCCTGAAATCGGTGATGGTATCCCTTTCGAATCTGCCAAAAATGGACCCAAAAAAGTCTGCTTAAATCGGTGCTTAATGGACTTAATTATCGATGAATAATAGCCTTAGGCCGAATCCGCGATCTGTAGCCTTCAAAATCAAAGGAAAATGACCTTTCGAAAAATAACGCCCAAAAATTACGAAAATTGCATCCCAAACTAAAATAGCCCAATTTGGTGCTTAATGGACTTAATCATCGATGGAGAATAGGATCAACAGACTTCATTATCGGTGGAGAATGGCCTTGGGCTGAATCCTTGATCCGGAGCCTCCAAAATTGAATGAAAATGGCATTTCGGAGAAATCGGCCGAAATAAGTGATGGTACCCCTTTCGAATCTGGCAAAAATGAACCTAGAAGAAATCCGCCCAAATCGGTGCTTAATGGACTTAATAATCGTTGAAGAATAGCCTTAGGTCGGATCCATGATCTGTGGCCTTCAAAATCCAAGTAAAATGGCATTTCAAAAAATAACACCCAAAAATTTACAAAAATGTCATCCTAAACTAAATTGGGCCAATTCGGTGCTTAATGGACTTAATCATCGGTAGAGAATAGGATCAATAGAATTCATTATCCGTGGAGAATAGCCTCGGGCTGAATTCGTTATTTGTAGCCTCCAAAATCAAAAGAAAATGGTATTTCGGGAAAATTGCCCAAAATCGGTGATAGTACCCCTTTCGAATCTGCAAAAAATGGGTCCGGGAGAAATCCGCCAAAATCGGTGTTTAATGGACTTAATCATCGTTGAAGAATAGCCTCAGGGCGAATCCATGATCTGTAGCTTTCAAAATCCAAAGAAAATTGCATTCCGAAAAAAATTGTCCAAGACCAATTACTGTTGAACCATACATAAAGTGATGGTTTGAAGTAGCTCGAACAAAGTGAGAGGTTTGAATATGTGAGACCGAAGGGCGAAGGGAGAAGGGAAAGGTGAGAAAACAACTCGACCGAGAGGTGGAGGAGTGCACCTAGCATTTCACACCTCCTGTTTGCCGATGATAGCCTTTTCTTCTTCCGAGCAGACTTCTAACGCTCTAGCTGTCCGAGCTCCTGCAAGAGGATTAGCTCAAGGGAAAGCACTTGAAGTAACGGATGAGCGCCCTAGCACACTCGTTTTGAATCTTTCGCGATGGAAATTCCCAAACCAACATAGCTTGCTAGCTGAAGGAGCTCCCGAATCAAAGGTTATGCAATTTACTTGACTTATTCGATTATATTTCCCCATCGTTCGAAAAGAAGTGGATTGACGCACGTCTTCCTATGAAATATATTCTATTTCCCCATCAAGCCAGGAAGGCTTATTCAGTCATGGGGGACAGATCTGATTGGTCCTTAATGGGACTGGATAAATCACTTTACCGTTCATTGCCCGCTCTAACCACCCTTGACCCGTCCAATCAACCTTCAAAGGTGCATCGACACCATGATCCTAATTAGACAACGAAGTACACATTCATCAATGGTACATCATTTTTTTTTATAGAAAATCATCAATGGTACTTGTTAGTAAACTCCCCAACTACCAACTAAACAAGATTCTGTTCTAGGTTCCCGCCAATTCGAAAGTCCTTGCCAACAGAACCGAGTGATTTACTTCAGACGGGCCAGGCTTTTATTGGGCTTCTTTGTTTGGTTTCCAGTCCAAAAAATTGGGCCATAAATCCGACCCACTAAAATTTCGGGTTTCCCCCCCCGGAGCCGCCTTCCGCATACGGAGATGCCTCTGCTTCATTCGCTCTCCCCAAAAGCCTTCTCCTTCCTTTTTCCTGCTCGCCGGCGGCCATTACCTCAGTTCAGAAAGCTCTGATTTCAAATTGCCTCGTTGACGCTGGGAAAGCTTTAGGTCATATCCTTTTTTCCGGCCCACAAAAGAAGAACTAATGAATCTCCAGCTCCTGCTCCATCGAATCTCGCATCGGATCCGCTACTTCCACGCCGCCGCATCAGCTCCCCTCTCGGAGTCCTCCGTATTCGACGAGCTCGTCTCGGTCGTCGAGGCGTCCAATCCGATGGAGCCGGAGCTGGACGCCATGGTCCCTTTCCTCTTTCCCGCCGCCGTCGCTTCCGTCATCCAACAGCCGCCCAATCCGCAGCTCGGCTTCCGTTTCTTCATCTGGGCGTCTCGGTACAAGCGTTTCCGCACCTGGGAATCGCGGGACGCGATACTCCGGATGCTGGGCGACGAGAAAGGAATGGATTTGTACCGTCAGGTTTTGGAAGAAACGAAGAGGTGCAAATTCGAGGTTCCTGCTGAATCATTTCTGGTGCTGATTCTGTAACATATGCTGCTCTGCTGAATGGATACTGTAAGTTAGGTAGAATAGATGAGGCTCTGGCTTGAAAGCCATAATGGCGTGAAAGTCATTATCATATGCAATACTGTATTGGTCAATCAAAAGAAATTTACATTTGATTATATCCATCATATCCTATATTTAGTTCAACCATAACTAATATGGTGTTACGAAAATCCAAATTCTTCAAGTTATAGATTTTTACATTTAGTTCTACCTATAACTAAATTACCCTTGTTCAAAGTCCTTTAGATTTTTTAGCCCTAGTTCAGATTTACGACTTTGCCACTAAATATCAATCATATTAAATTAACATAAACCAAATATTAAGATTAATTTTGAATCACATATCCACTAAATGCAGCATTAAGTATGAACCATTCAAACTAGAAGCTTTATCCCCTTACTAACAAAAAAATTATCATTATCATTAGGATTTCATAACTACTCCTTAATCAAACCAGAAAATTAAGGTAATAATAAATTAATAAGACAACAAGGAGAGAACAAAAATTTGACAACCCATCATCCAAAATCATGTACACGAGCAACAGAACAATTTGAAAAATCATCTATCAATAACTAGTCACAGGCCCGGCCAGTTAGCCAGATCCATTTTGTGAATCACATAAACAATAGTAGCAAATAGTGTTCATGTATTTGGTAGTATAATGAAAAAATATTAGTTATTCAATTGTTTGAAAACATTCAAAAGGATTGGTAGCATAAGAGAATCTAATATTAATGAAATACTTGAATCATTCAAAAAGGTGAACATCATATTGATTTCTGAAATTCTAATGTCGATTAAAATTATTTATGAAAATAAAAGACAAACTCCATGGAAGGTAACCGACTCGACATCCAACTTTAAACCAAATAGAACGGTCTTTTAAGTTTGTAATCTTCAATGTATTGAGAAACTTCATAGAATAATCTTCTGCTATACGATGTTGCTTACCGGGATCAAACTCAATTGAATCTAAACTATGATAACAAACTTCATCTCCTAGAAACCTTTCCACCATGTAATTATTTATTGTCAATACCATTTCATGATGTGGAGCTAATATAGCATTATGAACCGTATAATTTCTTTTACTGTAATACAAATAGAGACCACCATACATATGATTCACAATATCATCAATACCATTTCATTCACGTTGAATGATCAATGAAGTTGGAATTGAGATCATGGACTCCCCAAAAACATCGCAACCCACCCCATCACCGATTTGCAAAAATCAATTACTCAATTCTTTGATCTGAATTCTTCAGTTTTCCATGAACAATCTCATATTTTAATAGAGCGTCAAAACTTTCAATGAAAGCCATAAATACGATCTCTTGATAAAAGAATTTACTATATTTGCTCAGGTTACCTTAGCAATTAATGGTTATTTTTGTATAAAATCTTCGCCAGACATAATAGAAATTCCTCCAAAGATCATGTATTTGTCATTTGCATGTTTCACATGCAAAATGTTTTCAAGAGTTCTATCAGTTGCTATAATACTATTCTTATGACCCATGGAAGCTTTATCTAAATAATAAGAGAAGCATTCTGAATCAACTCTGCCAACTCGCTTCATTTTCTAATATTGCATGTCTTTTTGAGTCACAGTCGATTGGAATATGATATCGAGAATGAGCAATTTTACCTCCAACCATTAACAAAGCTGTAATATCAAAAGAAGGCAATGCACAACACCACCTGCCGTAGTTTCAACCATCTATTCTTCACAAGAAAAGTCTCCCATGTACCTCTAAAGCCATTAACAAAGAAGTAGTTCTCATTTTCTTCCTCCACAGCTTGAACAATTTCATCGAATGTCGCCCTCTGCTCTAAATCCAATTTTGGATACAATCTATTGAGTTCCTCCATTAAATTGTATGGATAGTGATTGAGCTCCTCAACGATCATTCAATTTTCAGAATTTAAATCTCATAACTTCATATAGAATATGCAATCCTAGAAAATTTTTCCATAAATATTGCACATCGTAGACATGATAGTGAATAAGATTTGTGACAAACATATTCCTTACTTTGTATCCAGAATCCCAAAAGGAAATTTCTTTCAAACAGTTACTCCTCTTGTCACCATCCGCCAATTACTCGAGATCATAACATGCTTTCTGGAATAAATCATGACCAAAGCCATTAATTATTCTAATTTCTTGATAAGAAAGACAACCTCTAACTGAATGCAGCAACATGCAAAATTAAAATATTTCTTGAGGCTCTACAGATCTTGCAGTATCCATCTTCTCCCCAGTGCTTGCCACTTGAATTTTTGATCTTCCAGAAATTGATACCAGAGTTTGTGGTTCCGTACCCGACGATGAGTACAGCATGGCCATTGTTTTTCTCGATCCCAGGATCCGGTCCTTTGTAGACTCCAGACTGTAAATATCAAATCCATTGTAAGTTCATGTTTTAAAATTCTTAGAAGGAAAAGAATAAGAAAAAAAATGGAGACACCTACTGATTTCCAGTTCTCAAACGCGCTCCCGAGATTCAAGATCATTATGACGGGCTGCCGCTCGACCAGCTTAAGTATCTCTGACTCAACAACAGTCTCAAATTTTTCGATCTTCCTGATTCCGACAACTTTTGAGGGCTGTAAAGTGTAAACACAAACAAACATCTAACTAGTCATTATTCCATGAAACATAGTGTAGAAGGAAGCTCACCATTAAGAAGATAAGTACTTACATTTAGTTTTCTCTGTGGATGGAACTTTTTGCCAGGGCGGTAGGGGTAATGGCTCTCTAGACTGAGTTGTTCCCTTTTGATGATTTTGGCGACCGTCTTCAACTGAACATGCGGAATTATTTCAAACTTTGTGTTACTGTGGTCAATCAGCTCCTGGACTGACAATGACACTGGCTCCTTGTCTCGGTTCAATATGTTATGAGCCGCTTCCAAAGCAGCCGCGACGGCGTGACAGCCACAAGTTGCTGCAACGGAAAGGATCAAAACACTCTTAATCCTTATTCCCAATCAGTTATTCACACAGGACAAAATGGATCATTATTCAATTCCATATATCATCATAGAAATAAATGAAGAAAAAAGGGCCGATGAACTTACATGCCACTGAACCAAATAATGAATAACTGATTGGTGACTGATTTGTCTTTATGTTAGATCCGATACTATATCAATTCAATCTTGTTTTTAAATCATGCTCACCCTAATTCTGACCTCCTCAAGTCTAGGTTCGATTTTGTTTGGAAACCATACTAATAACTGATACCTACTACACAGTCTACACTTACCGAACAACACACCTAACTACACTTACCTAGATCAGATTGATCCCTAATGGGACTAGGGAGAATGATTTTACCATCCACGGCTCGCTGTAACCACCCTTCATCCGTCCAGTCCACCGCCAAAGGTGCATCGGCACCAAGATCCTACATAGACAACAAAAACAAAAATCCATCAATCGCACATTCTGTTTCCCAAGTAAGGCTACATTAACTCCATAGGTAGACCAATCTACTGGTGAGTCAACAACAATACGGGATGTAAACCAAGTAAAAAACAGCGACCATCACACGCAGCATATCACTCAAACATAAATTGGAAGTACCGAAGGTCGGGCTGCTCTAAGTCTCCTGGGTGGCATTCTTCTTGTTCAAAGAGGAACTTAAAAACCCTGTAAATGGCAATAACAATCCAATATCAACAGTAGATTCTTCCAGCAAGAACATAGAACATATACTCAAAATGAAGCTATACTTAAACATGTCAATATCACAACAGATTCTTGCATAGCAATCTGGGTCCCACTAACTTTGATCCTCACCAACGATGGATGAAGAAGGGTTTGAAACAGAAAAGAAAGTCACAACAGATAACCAAGAAATGATGAGTTGGATGAATGCTTAAACATGGGCGAAGAAAGGGTTTGAAACCAGAAATGATGAGTTGGATGAATGCTTAAACATGGGCGAAGAAAGGGTTTGAAACCAGAATGAGTATCAATTCAAAGCACTAAAACTTTCCTTAACGATGGATCAAGAAGGGTTTGAAACAGAAAAGATAGTCACAACAGATAACCAAGAAATAATGAGTTGGATGAATGCTTAAACATGGGCGAAGAAAGGGTTTGAAACCAGAATGAGTATCAATTCAAAGCACTAAAACTTTCCTTAACGATGGATCAAGAAGGGTTTGAAACAGAAAAGATAGTCACAACAGATAACCAAGAAATGATGAGTTGGATGAATGCTTAAACCTGGGCGAAGAAAGGGTTTGAAACCAGAATGAGTATCAATTCAAAGCACTAAAACTTTCCTCAACATGGAAAGCAATCTACTTACTGTATTCTAACCATGATGATTGAAAGAAAGATGGATTCAAGCGATAGAAATGAAGAAGGGAAGAAACCATGCAAGATAGATGGATTCAAGACTATATTCAGCCTAACCTTGATGAATGAAGGTTGTTGCTGTCTACCAGAGTGTAATGGCAAACTCCCTACTTGCTGAACTTGACGAATGGGAGATTCTTTCTACTGTGCAAGCTGGGAATCAAAAGCAACGAATGAAAACTGAATTGGGAAAAGCAAGAGGTACTTATAGTTCCTCAAGCTCAAGAATTCTAAATAGGCCCACGTTTCAGCCCAACCTGAAATAAATACGAGAGTAACAGAAACCAAAAGACGGTCACTGTCATCGTCACCCTTCATAGTGGTGACGTCATCATCGCCGGAAAATTTTAGCACCGTCGCCAGGTTCCTGAGATTCATCCCGACTAGATGGATTTTCATCCTCTGTTACCGACGGTCGGTCGTAGCGGAAGTGCTCCTTCATCGCTGAGTAGGAGGGCCATAAGCTCAAACCCATGGTCTGATGACCGAACGACGTCGACGAGCAATCGAAGTTGGCGTCACTGATCAGATCCTCCATCGCACCGGCCGCCTTCTTCGATAAGGATCCCTGCATCAGACGGAGTTCCAACATCGCGCCGCGATTCTACGATCAATCTACTGTTGGCGGTGGAAAAAGAAGAAATTTCTGAGGGTTAGGGGTTTTTCAGGGGAGATTTGGAAGAGAAATAGGGGAGAAGATTCTGTTTTAAAATCAGGACGCGTTGACGGCAAAATTGGTGGCGGGTTTTCTGGTTTAGGTTTCCGCCAATTCGAAAATCGAAAGTCCTTGCCAATTGAACCGAGAGATTTAATTCATACGGGCCGGGTTGTATTGGGCTTCTTTGTTTGGTTGAGTCCAAAACGTTGGGCCGAAAATCCGACTCACTAAAATTTCGGGTTTTCGCCCCGGAGTCATCTTCCGCACGCGGAGATGCCTCTGCTTCATTCACTCTACCCAGAAGCTTTCTTCATCGTTTTCCTGCCCGCCGGCGGCCACTCCCTCTGCTTTCAAATTGCCTAGTTAACGCCGGGAAAGCTTCAGGCCAAATCCTTTTTCAAACCGTAGTGTAACATCCGGTTGACAGAAGAAGACCCAATGAATCTCCAGCTCCTCCATCGAATCTCGCATCGGATCCGCTACTTCCACGCCGCCGCATCAGCTCCCCTCTCGGAGACCTCCGTATCCGACGAGCTCGTCTCGGTCGTCGAGGCGTCCAATCCGATGGAGCCGGAGCTGGACGCCATGGTCCCTTTCCTCTCTCCCGCCGCCGTCGCTTCCGTCATCCAACAGCCGCCCAATCCGCAGCTCGGCTTCCGTTTCTTCATCTGGGCGTCTCGGTACAAGCGTTTCCGCACCTGGGAATCGCGGGACGCGATACTCCGGATGCTGGGCGACGAGAAAGGAATGGATTTGTATCGTCAGGTTTTGGAAGAAACGAAGAGGTGCAAATTCGAGGTTCCTGCTGAAGCATTTCTGGTGCTGATTCAAGCTTGTGGGAAGAGAGGTATGGATGAGAAGGCTGTTGAAGCCTTTGGGTCGATGGCCGAATTCAACTGTAAGCCCGATGTTTATACTTACAATGCACTACTTCAGATTCTACTGCGTAAAGGGGTTACCTCACTTGCTCTAGCTATTTACCATCAAATGATGAAACTGAATTGCGTTCCCGATACGAACACCTTCGGCATCTTGATTGGAGGGTTGTGTCAGTGTGGAGAGACCCGTATAGCGCAAGCATTGTTCAATAGAATGGAAGAGATAGGAATTTTGCCTGATAAGGTCATATATACAGTAGTGATCTCGGCTTTATGCCAGGATAAGACGATCGATTATGCACGTAATTTGCTAGATAAGATGAAAAGCGAGGGCATTGAACCTGATTCTGTAACATATGCTGCTCTGCTGAATGGATACTGTAAGTTAGGTAGAATAGATGAGGCTCTGGCTTGCTTGGGATCATTTGAGAAAGAAGGTTATGTGCTTGAAGCTCGTGGATATAGTTGCCTAATTGACGGGTTCTATAGGGCTAAGAGATATGAAGAAGTGGATATCTGGTATCGTAAGATGATCAGTAGTGATATTACGCCTGATGTTGTTGTTTACACAATATTGATGAAAGGTCTATCGGCTAGAGGGAAGATGAATGAGGCAATGAAGTTGTTGAATGAGATGAATAAGAGAGGCGTGGTTCCTGATACGCAGTGTTATAATGTTTTGATTAAAGGCCTCTGTGATATTGGGCTTGTCGATGAGGCCAAGTCACTAAGTCTTGAGATTTCAAAGCATGATCAAGTTCCTACTGCTTATACACATACCATTCTTATTTCTGGTATGTGCAAGAATGGATTGGTCTCAGAGGCTCAACAGCTGTTCAAGGCTATGGACAAATCTGGATGCGGTTCTTCTGTTGTTACCTTCAATGCCCTTATCAATGGTCTGTGTAAATCCGGAAACCTTGAAGAAGCTAAGAAGATGATACATGCTATGGAGAGGAGTGAGGCTTTTCTGGGTCTACAAATCTTTGGTAATAGCCTCAAGTATTCGTTAGAAAAGGATGGTGATGGCCTTGAGAGGATAAAGAACGGAAATTCTGAACCCGGATTGATTCTCAAGGAATACAACTCTCTTGTAAAACTTGACGAGAAGGTTGTGGCTGACATCAGAACATATAACATTCTGATCAATGAATACTGCAAAGCAGGGAACATTGATGAAGCTTTTAAGCAGTTCAAACTGCTTCCCTGTAGAGGTCTACTGCCCGATTCTGTAACATATGGGACCCTTATAGATGGGCTTTTTCGGCTTAAAAGAGATAAAGAAGCCGAAGAACTATTCAGGAAAATGTTGGAGAGTGGTCTTACGCCGAGTACAGCAGTTGTTAAATCACTCATGACTTGGTCATGCAGGAGAAAGAACCTGTCATCAGCCTTTAATCTTTGGTTAAAGTATCTGAAGAGTGTTGCTGGCAGAGATGATAATGCAATTAAAGCCATAGAAGAGCTTTCCGAGAAGGGAGAAATCGCCATGGCGGTTAAAAGCTTACTGGAAATGGACCTCAGATTAAATGATTTCCAGCTAGCACCATATACTATCTGGTTAATTGGGTTGTGCCAGTCTGGAAGAATAGAAGAAGCTTCTATGGTATTTTCTATTCTCGATAAATCCAAAGTAGCTATTACTCCACCAAGTTGTGCAAACTTGATAAAAGGTCTGTGCAGACAAGGGAAACTAGACCTTGCAGTTGATGTTTTTGCTTACACAATCGACAAAGGCATTTTGTTAAAGCCTCGGATTTGTAATCAACTACTTAAGTCCCTTCTTCGCTCCCAAGATAAAAGGAAGGATGCAATCAAACTCTTATACCGAATGAAGGCCCTGGGATATGATTTAAAGGCTTACCTTCACCGAACAACAAAGCTCCTCATGCGGGGATAATGAGTTGTATGGGAATGGATGCACCCAACTGAGCAGAAGTTGAGAGACATTACAAATGAGAATGATTTTTCGGAGGATGACATAGCCAATGAAGTTAAACTACGTAGGAAAAGTGCTGGTTGTGGGAAAGACTTTGTGCCTAGAGGGACTGTTTATTGGTGCTTGGTTGCCACTGTAAAGGTTTTGTGAGTTTGCCAACAGCTTGTCAACCAGAAATTGGTCCCTGAAAATGTAAGATGAAAGGGTCTATTTAGTATTAGCTCCCAGATTTTGCAATCCAATGACCAATGTGCCAGTTCTTGAACAGGTAACTCACTACCCACTCTCTCTTATGATCTTCTTAAAATGCAGATTCCCCATGAGTCCTCGTTCTAGCAAGCTGTTCATGTATTTTTAACTTGCTCTTTTCTTTTTATTTAGCTATCCTCTTGGGTCCCTCTTTGCCAGTGAAGCTGAGCCACAGTATACGCCTCTTTTTTCCCCTCGGATATTCGTTCCTTCTCGAACAATGGCCAGATTTAACTTCTGTGGCTACTGACGTCATCATCACATCCTTGGAAGGTAATCTTGTTATTGACAAGTTGTGCCAATTATTTGGTGGATATGGAATTTAAATGTAGCCGATTAATAGTTGAATCCATATGTATTCTTTATATGTTCCTCAATTTCCTTCTTTAGGGTTCTTGTTGAACTCTTAATGTTCAGTCTACCTTTTTCCTGTCAGTTGAGTTGTGAGTTATGACCAATTTCCAACACATATAACACTTTAAAATAGCCTGCTGATCATTTTTTTATAGAATCTCAGGACTTATGGACTGTAGCCTGTAGCTAATTTAATGACCTTTCAAGCCTTCGGCTGCTTAAGACACCATACTTAACCAGCAGGGTTTGTGCATTTTTTCATCAAGTTCTTCGTCAGGATTTTATCACTAACACTTGATCCTTGATGCTGGTAGGTTGGTACAGGATATGGAAGTTATCTAACTGGGGCTCCTGGTATTGCGCCAGAAATCATCTCTGAATTCATAACATGTGGTTGGGAAATTCCAGTGACGTTGAACTAAATCAGGTTTTCTTTGAGATCTCTCCTTTTTGTCTTGTTTCAAGTTGTTTTCTCCAATTGACAACCATATCCTTGTTCTGGTAGAATGACCTTGCTCCCTCTTTTGATGGTTATGCTGGTGGCAGGCCCTTGAATCTGCCTCTTTGAGATTCTGTCCAGCAGACTGATTATCAATATGAGAAATTGGTCCACGTAAGTGCTTGATGAAAATCTCAAATCACACAATGAATCAGCCTCTCTCATTTCTTTTCATTCATTGTGATTATGTAGGCTCTGATGTAGCTCCCCTTCCAGGTTCTCTTTTGTTGTTCACCGTGTCTTTTACAGGGTGCCCAAGATTTCGTTAATGTAACTCATCTCCACGCTCTACATGTACGCATCGCTTTAAGCCTCGCCCCAGCTCAATACAGAGTCAGTAAGCCCTTAAATTTCTTTCAGCCTTCTTCCCTCTATCAAGCAACCAAAGTCCTCCCACTCTTTTTGGTGTTAGATGTTTGCTTATTACTTGTGATCTTTGTGGGTTCCTGGTAATGCTCTGCTTTCAGGAGTCATGGGAGAAGTGAGACTCATGGTTGGGAAAACTACTCCCTCTTCTGTCTGTAACACTTAAAGACCAGATCTTTCTTCCATCTTATGGAGCAGGAAGCACTGTTTGATGATGCTTGAGCTTTCAGCGACGGTTGAATATAAGGAGAATCATGGTACATATCTTCATAATTCACTTCATTGTGAACAATTTGGCGCATGCTTAAATATAAGGAGAATCATGGTGAAAAAAACCAGTAATAGCAATGATCATCATAATAAAAATTCTGTCAGCCACCCAGTTCCCCTCTTCATAATTCCTCCCTCATGGAATCCAATGGAGATTTCTGAATCGTAAATCACTCCTCCTCCATTGATGAGTTCTCAATGAGTAGTGACAAAAAGATACAAGTATTATATCCTTATTGCATCTTTATAATGTAAACATATCTTCATAATATCTACATCTAGTACACATCAAAACGTGACAAATCAATGATTCTACCACCACAAAGAATTCACTACTCATTAAGTGAATTTGATGGATGCTTTTTTAATTTTCTTTTTG